ACGTAGATGAAGTTTGAGCGCTTGCAGATGCATGCATGCATGCAGCCTTTTTTTTCCTTTTTGTTTTGGGTTCTTATGTTTTCCCCTTTGAATGGTTGTGCAGATCAAACAACAGAAGGTGACAAGACTTTGCCAAACAAAAAGCATAGTAACAGTGAACGGGTGGTTTCCTAGGCCGAAAATCATTGCTAGAGAGGGTGATCAACTCCTAATTAAAGTGATTAACCATGTCCAAAACAACATCTCTATCACTGGTAATCATCAACTACAACTTCATAAGCAATATTGAATCTAATCATCATTCTTTGCTTAAACTTCACTACACACCATCACCATGCATAACTAATCTAAATTAAATGTTGGTTAATATTGTTAATTAATTTCTTTAAATTAACAGGCACGGCATTCGACAGCTTCAATCGGGGTGGGCTAATAGTCTGCCATATGTGACCCAATGTCCCATAAAAACAGGCAACAGCTGTGTACAACTTCACCATTACAGGCCCAAGAGGCACTCTTTTTTGGCATGCTCACATTTCATGGCTCAGATCAACTGTTTATGGGCCCTTAATCATACTTCCCAAGCACGGTGTTCCGTACCCTTTCACTAAACCTACAAGGATGTTCCAATTATTTTTGGTAATTAACTTTGAACTATATTTTCTGCCTATAATAATATGCATACCTGCTCAGAAAAGCTATATATACAATTTATACTTGAAATACAGGTGAGTGGTGGAATGCAGATCCTGAATCCATAATTAGCCTGGCCTTACAAACAGGTGGAGGTCGAATGTCTCTGATGCTTATACCATTAACGGATTCCCTAGGCCCTTACACAATTGTTTTGCCAAGGTATTAAATCGACTATGGAATGGAAGTTTGTACAAACTGTCAATTGTCATTGATAATGTGTTGATATCATTGTAACAAAAAGAAAAAAATGGAATCGATATAGGCTCGAGAATGTAGTGCTTCCATTCAATATTATAGAACAGATCATGCGCGAAGAATTTATGTTACTCTCATCTTAATTGTTTTGCACATGTGACTTTCTTGCAGATGCATTCAAGCTAAAGGTTCAACTTGGCAAGACTTATCTTCTCCGGCTAATCAACGCAGCACTCAACGACGAGCTTTTCTTCAGCATTGCAAATCACACCCTCAAAGTAGTAGAAGCCGATGCCGTTTATGTCAAACCCTTCGCGACTCGCACAATTCTCTTTGCCCCCAGGCAAACCACAAATGTTCTTCTCAAGACCAAACCCAACTTCCCCATTGCCACATTTTTCATGACTGCAAGGCCATATGTGACTGGCCAAGGCACATTTGACAACACCACAGTTGCTGGCATTCTAGAGTACGATTCGCCATCCAAAACCAAAACCCGAAACACGAAGAGACTTCCGCTGTTGAAACCCAACCTCCCTGCCCTAAACGATACATCATTCGCAACCAAATTCGCCAACAAACTACGTAGCTTAAACACTCCACAATTCCCAGCTAATGTCCCTCAAAATGTTGATAAGCACTTTTTCTTCACCATAGGCCTTGGAACCAACCCTTGTAGCCAAAACAAGCAAACATTCAAGGACCCAATGGGACAATATTTGCAGCCTCAGTCAACAACATTTCTTTTGCAATGCCAAACACTGCCTTGCTACAATCCCATTTTTCTGGCCAGTCAAGTGGGGTCTGCACTCCTGACTTCCCAACCAATCCCATAACGCCATTTAACTATACTGGCCCCCCACCAAATGATACTATGGTGAGCAATGGGACAAAGCTGATGGTGCTGCCATTTAATTCTAGGGTGGAGCTGGTGATGCAGGACACTAGCATTCTTGGTGCTGAGAGCCATCCTCTGCACCTTCATGGGTTCAATTTCTTTGTTGTGGGTCAAGGGTTCGGGGAACTTTGACCCGAATAAGGACCCTAAAAAGTTCAATCTGGTTGACCCTGTTGAGAGGAACACTGTGGGTGTGCCCTCTGGTGGGTGGGTTGCTATTCGTTTTCTGGCTAATAATCCAGGTAACTATTTAATTGAATTGAACCTAAAAGTAAATTGTTAAAATCATAATTATATACTATTACACTACTAATCGCATAAAAGAGAAATTCTTGTGTCGGCACTCTGGATTACATGGTGATTCGATCATCTAACCTCTATGATTCAACATCGTTCACTCATGGTGCCCTAATCGAGCATCTAGGAACAAGAATTCTATCATGATCATGGAGGTAAGACTTACGTAAAGATAGAGAAGCATCAGTAGTGTGATTAGTAACAGTGAGTGTGCCAATAACAATTCTCAACGATAAACCAAAATTTCTAATTGTTGATTGATTGCTTGTTAATGTATCATGTGTGAATACACAGGAGTATGGTTTATGCATTGCCACTTGGAGATCCACACAAGCTGGGGCTTGAAGATGGGTTGGGTAGTCTTGGATGGCAAGCTTCCCAATCAAAAACTGCTCCCTTCCCCTGCAGATCTTCCCAAATGCTGATGATCTTTTCAATCCATTACTTCTGACCATAACTTGTCCAAAGAATTCCTGACCCATTAATATTTGTTTATTCTTTGGCACCTTTTGGATTTTAATTACTTTGCCAAATTAAATTGTTTTGAGTGTGATTGCATATTTCTTAAGAGGAGCTTAGGGAAGCAAAAGAGTGAGACAATACTTAACACTCCAATTATATTATTAATGTACAATGCCTCTCAATATTCAATAATATTTACAAGCAGATTGTTGCTGTTCTTTTTCATTTCTTGGAATACAAGAAACAAACACACAAAGGGAATGCCCTGCATTATTTTGAATTTAAATGTACACTTTTGGTAACAAAACAAGAAGTGTTTGTTGAATTATCCGGCAAAAGCGTGTCGTCACACAAAGCTGAGATTTCCTAGTACAAGGAAGAAATCAACCAACCCCAGTTTAGCATATCTGTGGATGCAGCCTAAGGGAATAAGATCGCCCGAAACGTACATAGCCGCCCAAGCAGAGGGATCCTATCTTCTCTCAGGCGTCCGGAAGTTACTCCATTCTAATCAAAACAAGAATAGCATGGTTTCTTCTAGGTTTGCAGCAGCATGTCACGATAGAAGAATGATCATTGATTGAATGGATGGCATGTTAGTCTGCATATTCAAAATCCACCACCTAATCAACAGCTTTATTCACAATTTGATGTCATAACACGTACGATTAACTAGAAAAAGTAATTGTGCGAAGTACTACCATGAAAAAATTGCACAACCAAAAGAAAAATGAATTAGAATTTACTGTTTCACATAATTGATTAATAAGGGTTTCCAGTTAACGAGCCCTGTGATTGATTGATCAGTAGTAGACAAGCAATTGTGTCGAAATAGCTTTCATAAGGGTTTCATGTTAATGGAGCCCTATGATTGATCAATCAGTAGTAGACATGCATTCACGTCATACAGATGATATTACTTTCTATGCAACAAGAGTCCCTATATTCCTTACCAGTATATACCTAAGAATCCAAAGAATTGGGTATGGTTGTAATACGACATTCCACATAGGTGCTTAATTACTTAATTAATCAATTCAATGCTTTGTATTCAAATGATACAAGTTGAATTCCTAATAAACAAAATTGATATCTATTATGTATCTATCGGTTGGTGATATCCGCCAAGAAAAATATATTCTTGTCAACAAACTTGATGAGGAATCAAATGAATCTGGTTTGCAAAGCGGTAACATTATGCTTCAATAAGAATGAGACACCAGCACCAAAACATATATATTGTTATCAAAAAAATTCCATCTGTGGCTCACCTGTACAAGTACCTCCAAACGAGGTCCGAGGTTGCACAACAGACCCCAGAAGTACACAACTTTCGCATTCCTACTTACAGTCACGGCAAACCCAAACTCTTCAGAGAGTACATAGGAGATGAGAACAATGCTTTCGCAGATGTATCCGTTGATGTCAAAGCTGAATTTCACTTCATCCTCTCCTTTGCTATTGACTATAAAACGCAATCCCATAATCCTTCTTCCGCCAATGGAGACTTTAGTTTCTTCTGGGACACAGAGAACCATGTTTTTTTTCTGGTCGAAAACACAGAGAACCATGGAGTTCCCATAAACCGATTAAACCTTTCCTTATTTTATATCGAAAACAGAGGGAATTCAAATACACCAAACATACATAATATATCTAAAGAATCATTGTAGAGAATTAAGGATTCTATAGCTTCTGCAGTATTCAGTTGTTGAACTGGTCTTGCGTACTCTTCTTTTTTGTGTTTTCAATTACATAAATAAACATGGATATGATAAGACAAACAGGAAGAACAAAAAATTGACAAAAGAGAAAGCAAGATGGTTGGAAAATTTTGTTAAATAAGAGGAAACACGAACATGCAAGAGTTGATACGGAGATAACATACCTGGTAGTGCTGTTATATAACTGTGTACCAAAGTATCTGATAGGTTCAAGAGAAATTCTGTTCCAACTTCAAAAAGGTATAAGCCTTGCGGAAACAACGTGACATACTATTTAACCATGTTTATCCTACAATTCACTGTATATAAAGTGGACTGATCCAGGAAGAGAAAAAGATGCCAAAAATTAAAATACGCTGGTGGAGAACCTTACGCATATGCCTAGGATCATTATATCCAAGAGCAAAGGAAGTACCAAGTATCCATCGAAGAAAAAAAGAACAGAGATTAAAAGTAAAAGGATGTACTTACACAAAGAACGTAAGGCCTGGGATCCAGTAACTGAAAGAAGCAACCTTAATTTGTTAAAAATGTATCTACAATTTTCTCAATTGTTTAAAACATCCTCTAATGGTGCTTTCTAGGCTTTTTTTACCCTCTCATATATGATTATTTCATTAGCCATCTACAGAATTGCAATTGATAGAATCGGTTTGTTCTTTGAAATAAACATAACACTTGACATACAAAACTAAATGCAGAATACACAAATTGAAATAACACTCAAATTAAGAACCAAAATCGATATGGCATTAACCATATTTCCGTTGCAATCAATAATATCACCAAAAACAAACTACAGCTCAGCTTAGTAATTAGCATTACATAGAAAATAGTATCCCCACAAATTACCCTGAAGGTGCTGAGCAGCAGACCTCATGGAATTCAAATCTCCACCGAATCCCAGAAAACTCAAAACCGACAACTACGAACAATTGTGTCGTAGTGTTCTCAACTTTTCCTCCTCTTCTTTTTCTTATCCCCTTGCTCTCCTCCTAAAGCACCAGAGCCTCCATCTTCTAACACCCCACTCTTCCTCTTCTTACTCTCTTCCTTCTTTACCTCTTCGCTCCTTGTTTTAGCCCCGCCATCTCCTTTCTTCATTTGACCCCCGTTTTCACCGGAATTGCTAACATTGTCCCTCTTTTTCTTCTTCTTATTTTGTGTGTCAACTGAATCAGCCGGCTCTCTCTTTTCAACACCGCCATTCACCCTCTCTGCAATTTTGACCCCGCCATCTCCCTTCTCAATTCGATCCCCATCTTCATTAGAATTACCTACATTGTCCCTCTTCTTCTTCTTCTTCTTCGTCCTAAGCACCTCTACTGAATCAGCTGTCTCTTTCTTTTCACCACCCTCCCCTCCCCTCTCTGAAATTCCACCTCCATCTTCCCCAAATTTACGAACTTCACCCTTCTTCCTCTCCTTCTTCTTCACCTGGGCATCCACTACCTGTCGCTGCGTTTCCGGCTTGGACTCAAGCCCATGACTCACCTCACTCACACCGGTACTCTGCGCCGGATTCTCTCCGACGGTCTCTGCGTCGTCGTTTTCGGTCTCCGACCTGTGCCGCCGCGACCGCTTCCTTTCCGATCTTGGCGATTTGAGCTCCTTGTGTAGCTGCTTCAGCTCCTTGAACGATGCCAAGGTGCGTCGGAGGTAGACGCTGAACTCTTGCGACGCGCCGGTGTCGCTGGAGACGAAGGAGGAGAGAGTGGAGGTCGCTTTGGAGAGAGAGATTGGCTTCGACGAGAGGACGATCCCCGATACCGTTTTCATGGTTGGGAATTCTAGGGTTTTAGGAGAAAGGGGGCGAGATTGGACACATGGGCTTAAGTAAAACGCGTATTTATTGCTTTGCCAACTGAAGCTAGATTCGTCTCACCCTTCAGCTTCCCAACTGTAAAGGTCAAGTTATTTCTAAAGGAAAGGATCACGATCTTTCCACAAAATCCATCAAATCATCTAATTTGGATTCTTGAAATTTAATCAAATAGTTAAAACTATTATAACTTTTAAATAGTCCCTTTATTTGTAGCCGTTGAATCAAATTTCAAGAATCCGAATTGATTGATTGGGTGGATTTGGAGGATGGGGTTCGGAAAGGTTCCCTTTCCATTTCTAAATATTTTTAATAACGTTTTACTGTAGTGACGGAGTAATGAGAAAATGTTTTTGGTTCGCGTTCGATCTTTATTGATGTCCATTTTATGATAGAGAACAATTTAACCTATTAGTGCTATTGATTCTAAAAAGGTTGTTTTATTCACACTTCACATATTGTTAAATACACCTCACATATTGTTAAATACACGCACATCTAATTTTTCAATTAAATTTTTAATACACCCTACATTATTTTCCATAGTACCCTCACACTCTTGGCTGAAGCTACATGGGAACAAGGAGGGGTTGCCGCTCCATCGCACTGGAAATCGCCATTGAGGGTGATGATTTCGCCCTTTTGGTACTCTACACCCCAAGACAATTCCTAACTTCGCTACTGCTCATACTGTCATCCTAGCTCGAGTTACTAGCTCAACATGCGCAACGAGGATGAATGCTAGGTTAGAATCTGATACTAAACTAAATCATGGTGGCATACGAATTTGTTTCGACCTATTCTATCGCTAGCACTTGAACTTGGAAGCAAGCTACAGCTAGCTTGAATCAATGAATGAATGAATGAAAAGAAACCGCTTACGGTTCGAGGACCCCGTATATTCTACATACCCTACACTCTCTGCTGTCTACATTCACTCCACATCAACCTTGTGTATACCATATTCGTCTGTTGATTTCAAATCCGAAGGCGACGATACTTCCTTTTGCACTGTTAACACTATCCTATCTTTCTCTGGGGATTGGTTTTTAGAAATGGGGTCGAGACTAGCCTCTTCTCCAACCATTTGGAAAGCAAAAGCGAGTATATGCTTATATTGATAACGATGGCGTTGAAATCACTCAAATACGAAAAATGTGAAGCCTCCCAAAACATTAATTTTATGTTTCATCCGTCAAAAATTACATTTTCTCATCAACGTGTTTGTACTTTTAGTAGTTAGAGTTTTGTTTTAAAGTAAAATATACGGTGGGAGTGCATTTGAAATTTTTATTTGTAATTTTTATTTTCATGGATAAAATCTTATAAGGCCTAAACAGTCATTTCATGTAGAATATATAGGTCATTTAATAATAATTGCAACGTGGGGTGCTAAAAAACCTTCAAAAATTCAGTTTTAACATTTCAGCCGGTTTGAGCGGTTCGAACCGGTCGCTGAAGCAAGTGCCGCTAGCCTAAAACCCAACCCAAAACCTTTCTGAGCGTTCTCTCTCTCGCTCTCTCTAACTGCAGCAGTTGCTTCTGCGCCACCTCCATTGAAGACTCCACCGTCGGCGCTGCCGCCACCATTCGGTACTGCTATTTATCATATCTTTAAATTTGCAGCAGTGTAATATGGAAATACAAATATACAATTTTTTTTTCTTTTTAATTTCAATAGTTATGATCAAATTAACCAGGCATTCGAGTATTTCAATCCAATTTTGTGGTTAATTAATTCATCTTTAATTAATTAGTTTTCGTCTCTTTTGGGTATGATCAATGTAGAGGATGAATAGAGGGCAAGCCAAGACCATAATCTTTACCAAACAGCCTTTCATCGAAGACGAAGGACACCTTAGAATGTAAGCCCTTTTCATTTTTCTTCAAAAAGTAAATTTTGATTTGTTCAATTTTGTAAAGTGAGACGCTTTCGGTTTGTATAATTCAATGCCTGTAGAGAAAAATGGAAATTCAGCGCGATGTCCGACAAGGAGATCGGGAAAATGGCTGAAGTTCAAATCTTTAAAGGTCAATATTATGATTCCAATCGGAAGCCTATTGAAGGCGGCTTATTGGACCCCCGCTTGGTACTCTCCCACCCTTTAATTGTTACTTTCGATTCTTGTTGAAGCAATTTCGGTTGAATTATATGGAAATTGTTGAAATGTTAGACTAATCGATGGATTTGTGCAGGCATTAGGACTGACCATAAGAAGTATTAAACAGGATTAAGGGAACAAGTTAACCAATACACTCAATATAATTGACTCACAGACAGAATAACATTTTCTGAAAGTTCTAGTTTTGTTTGAATTCATTTCACGTGAGTACATTTCACATGGACGAGTGCAATTAGAAACGATTCAAATAAAGAACAAAGAATGACCAAGTAGTATTCTAACTGTAGATTATTCTTTCCTTTGGATGTTCTGGTATTGCTTCAGGGTCCTGCAAATAGGAGTAGTGGTGCATGTGCGACCTGTGGTGGGACAACGAAGGACTGCCCGGGGCACTTTGGATACTTGGTGCTTGCCCTTCCTGTTTTCAATGTTGGGTATTTAAGTACTATTGTGGACATATTGAAGTGCATTTGTAAGGTACAGAGAATAGATTAACTCCATTTGTAATTACTTTCTAATGAATTTGAATTATGTTCCTTTATATGTTTTGTTTTTCTATTAAAAAGTTAAATTTAACAACTATTTATATATTTCTTCTTTTTAGTTTGAGATTGGTTGAGATTTTGGGATATTTGATTTTACGAGACTTAGGTTTAGGCCACCAGGAGCCTAAAATTGATTTAGGCTCTCCATTTTACACCTTGGCCACTGTCAAGGGAAATTCAGTGATTCTCAAATACTTTTGAGAATTTAGCATACATGAAATGTGGTTAAATTTACATCTAAACAATGTGCTGGGCTAAATGCATGAGCTTGGCTTTTATTTAGGTCGGACAAGAACTTAAACCTTGAATGTATCTTGCTACCACCTAGGACTGGCAAGAGGGGAGGGGAGGGTTTGCGCACTTTATATCCATCCTTGCAGAAGTGTTGGATCCAATCCTCTCCCCATTCTGGGTTGGTATGGGGATCCCTATTGGGCGAACAGATTCCGCAATGCGGGTCAAGTTCCCCATCCCATCCACAAGAATTTATTTTGTATAATTCACAGAAAAAGGGGAGTTTTAACGAAAAGCCCACGGTATTGTTCACTTTAACGAAAAACCAAATTTTTACACTAAAAAGTCAAACCTAATACTATTCACTTTACCCTTTATTTTGTCCTTATCGTTAAAACTCAAAGTTTTCAAGCCCTTTTCATTAGTTTTCCTAAAAAAAATTATTAAATAAAGATATTCGCTAATATGATCAATAAAAAAATATATATATATATACACACACTTTATGTAAATTTCTAAATAAAATAAGACAAAATGACTCAAATAAATATACAAGTTGTGATAAAACATTAAACTGGGAGAAAGACAAAAAAGAAGAAAAAAAGGAGAGAGGTGTTTTTTTTGGGGGGGGGGGGGGTGTGGAGGGGTGCCCTTGGAAGGATTAACTACAATGGGGAAAACTTTTATCAGTACTACCTCCACCATTCTTTTATAGTTTGATGCCTTTATAAAGATACAATTAGATTTTTGGATTTGAATTCCACTTTGGATCAGTCAAACCATAACAGTCACAAACTCTGGAACTTCATGTATACTAATCTTGATGTTTTCTGAAACTGCATCATTGAGACTTATGTTTCTTAATTTCTTTTAGTGATTCATAGTTCCCTTCATATGGTTTAGAGAATGTTTTCTTTTTTGTACTAGATTAAGGCTTTTATTGTTTTCTCTTGCAAAATTCTTGAACTAATGGGGGAAATAAGGGAAACTTCAGTTTTGCTAGAATTAATAACCTCACCATTGTGTAAAAGAGACTCATACTCTTGCACTAATGACTCAAAATAATAACTGCTTTGACAGTGAACTCTTTACAGTGCAATCTTATTAGCCAAGTAAACCCTGTTTTTACTGGAATTTCAAGTTGGGATTGCATGATATGCAGTTATGTTCTGGCATACTTTTGGAGGAGGGAATGCGCATCGAATTTTTGAAGAAAATGAGACGTCCCAAAATGGAGCCCATGAAGAAAAGTGAGTTGATGAAAGTGATAGTCAAGAAGTGTAATAGCTTGACAACCAATAATAGACCAGTGAAGTGCTCCAAATGTGGATTTATAAATGGTTTGGCTCATATATTCCCTCTTGATACTTTATCGTTTTTGTTTTTCTGGCTGGATCTTCTATCATCTTTCAAAAGTAATGGCTTGATATGTTATGCTTTACAGGTTCAGTGAAGAAGGCTGTGGGTGTGCTGGGCATTATCCATGATCGTTCAAAATTTGTTGGTGTTATGGATGACTTTAGATCAGCAATATCTCACACGAAAGAGTCCAAAGCGTCCTTTAATCCGGCTACTCATAATCTAAACCCTGCTAGAGTTTTTTCACTGTTCAAAAGGATGGTTGATGAGGTAATACTTATAAAAAAGTTAAAAAACAATGAAAATGGTGCATGGTTATATATTCTCTTGCATTCTGTTCCTCTTGAAGCATATTTGTATTTTCTATTGTTATTGCAGGATTGTGAGTTGCTTTATCTTTCAGATAGACCAGAGAACCTCATAATGACAAACATTGCGGTGCCACCGATACCTATTCGTCCTTCTGTTATTGTGGATGGATCACAGAGGTCATCTCAATATTTTATTTACTGAATATGAAGCTTTTGCTCCCTTTTCTTTTCATGTTTGTAATTAGATGCCATAAACATCTTTTTTCAGTGCTTTTATGGTAGTACTGCTGTAAATAATACTTATTAGGGTTCTACTTTTCCTATTACAGCAATGAAAATGACATTACAGAGAGGTTGAAGAGAATTATTCAGTCAAATTCTAGTCTCCGACAGGATTTAATGGAAGCAAGTTCTGCAGCCAAATGTTTGGTATGAATCATGGAGGATATATGTCCTCCAAAGTTTATCACCAGTGTCTCGTTGTTTATTTCACAT